AATTAATATAATTAATATTTTATTACACAACTATAATTTATTATATTAATACTAAAATATTTCATATATATATATATATATATATTACTTATATTTAAAATCCTAAAAAAATATTTAAGTGTAATTAATATAATTTAAAAAATAATTAATTATTTATTTTCCTTGTATTGAAATAATCTGATAATAACATATTAGAAATTATATTACAGATATTTTTGCATGGCTATTAATGAGTTGCATATTTACATCAGCCCGCACTATTATATATATATTTCTGTTTTCTTTTCACCACAATCACAATGGAAGTTTAGTTTAAGTCCATGAGTGCGAGACTTATTTTCTGCCATGTAAAATATTGTTTTGTCACGGATGTGGCTGGTTACTGCCTTTCCTGCTTCTTATATTCTCAATATAAAAGACTATACAATAAGCAGATTAATTTTACCATATTTATCTATTTTATTTTTTAGCCAAACCAGGAAAGATAGAGGAAAAAATAGTGAGAGATAATAATAATAATAATAATAATAATAATAATAATAATAATAAGTGATAGGAAATGTGATAAAAGAAATTGATGCAAAATGAATAAAATTAAACAAAAAAGAAAGTGGATGAAAGATAAATATTTCCGTTGTTTTCGAGCATGGAAGATCGTTGGGAATGACACACTTGCACACAGCAAAAATAAGTACAAATAACATAGAGTGTGAAAATTGAATAGTAATTTTTTATATATAGAATATTACATATTATTATTTATTATAAATATGTATTTATAGAAATTAAACTCTAATTATAGCCACATAAATAGGGATAATAAAAATTTGTTTACTTGTGCTATCCACAAATAAAATTTGTCATGAATAATAAAATAGGTAGTTTAAATAGATACAACGGATATAAATATCTTTCTACTCGTTTAAAATTGGGACGATGAGAGATATGATAGTATTCATATATATAAATATTAATTAAATAAAATTATATAAATATTTTTATTTTGTATTTTTATATAATTTTTTAAAAAATTATCATTAATTATAAATTCAAAAATTAAAATTACTTATTTATCTTTAATATTTCAATATAATTAACATTAAATATATGTTTAAAATGATTTATAATATGTTTTTAATTATCATAAATACTCATAAATATAGACTTAACGAATCCTTACCCAAATAAGAGAGAAGGAGAAGGATTAAGGAAGGAAGAATTTTTGATTGAACAAAACAAGTACTAATTAAGCTGTGAAACGTTTCTAGTTGTAGCGGAGGAGAAAATCGGCAAAGCGTTGGAGCATCTTGTGAGCATTTACGGTGTGGGGATTGTGGACGTGAAAAACGTGTTGTTCGCTTTCAACTTCAAACAATTCGGCTTCACCTTGCCACCTGCTCTTCTTCACAGCCTCATAGTACGACACCGCTCTTTCTCTCAGCATGTCTCTTTGAGCAGTGCAAACAAGAAGCTTAGAGCACCCAAGCCCATCCAAGGAAGCCGCCTCACTACCCAACGGGTTTATCAGTGGGTTGTCAAGCCCACCAGGCCCATTGGGACAAACGAATTCCCAAATCCGATAGGCCACGCTCTCCTCGTGCCCGCAAACCGCTTCACACCCAATTGGCTTCGAACCGAAGAAGTAGGGATGAGAAACAATAGCGCCAAAGACTTTGACACCACGAGGTAAAACCTCAACCCCAACACGCATGCCAACGTTGTGCACAATATTAGCACCAGCACTGTCACCTCCAATGAAAACTCTGTTGAAATCACCGTGTTTGAGAAGCCACGTGTCGGATTTATTGGCCACCCATTTAAGAGCATCCCAGCAATCATCGTACGCTGCAGGAAGAGGTGTCTCTGGTGCCAGCCTGTACTCCACGGAAACGACTATGACACGTGTGACGGAGACAAGCATGTTGACATAGTTCTGGTGTTGTTCGCTGAAGGCAGATTCGAAGAAAAATGCACCACCATGAAAATAGACCAAGATGGGAACTTTGTTGTGGTTGAGAACGTTTTTGTTTGGAAGGTACATACGAGCAGAGATGGGAGGGTTGTTTGATATGACAACGTCTTTGGATGATACTCCTGTTGTTGGATCTTCAAGTGTGGATGCCACAAATGGACTGCCTTGGAGGCGTTCCACGGTGCCATCGTTGTAAACTCGTACCAAGCTTGGAATCTCCAACGTTATCTCCTTCGTGCTTGCTGAGCAAGTCGAACTCATTGCAAACACAAAGAAAGTGTCGCACTTCAAAACTATTTTGGAGGAAGATAGAGGTCAAATTTCTTCATTTCGGTTGCAATTTGCAAGCAAACACTCGTAGTTGTACACGTAAATATATTGATTGAACTGTACCCGGTACAGTTTTTACTCAACTGCAGATGATCCTTAATTCCTTATCCATTTTACACATGTAACATAAGGAACGGAAAAATTAAAATTATATTTTATGGTAACCACATAAATTTTAGGGTTATTGTCAAGTAGTTTTCTTATGACTAATAATTGAATTACTTTGGATACGTGGAGAGATGGTTTCTCAATAATAGTATTAAAATTCTTGAATTACATTTGTAAGACCACCAGATACTTTTCTAAAAAAACGTGAGCCACGAAAAAAAGAGATGATAAAACAAGATATAAAAGAGGGAGGTGTAAAAAATTAAAATTCTATATATTCCATAAGAAAATGGTGTTTCCATACTTTATGTTATGTTAGTATGTATTTAATCTAGTTTTAAATTTGGCTCAATAATTTTTCATATCAAACCAATGAATCAATGAATTTCAATAAATATGATATTTTAAAATTCAAACACAGATTATTCTCATATATGTCTTATCATTAAGGAAAATGATTTATTGTTATCATTTGTAACAAATATAATATATATGAGGATGAATTTCATTACTTTAAGAGTAAGTATATTTAGAGTTATTTTATTTAATAATTCATACTCTACATCAAATTTCAACAATCCAATCATTAAATTTGAAGTTTTTAATGTATAGATTAAGTTTGTAAATTTTAAAAAATAATTGAAAATCACTTAATACTTTATTTCACTAATTCAAATCGATGAATAGTTATAAAATTATTTTATACACTATTTGAACTAATAAAACGAAGTATCAAATGATTTAAAAATTTCTTAAAAATTTGCAGACTTAATTTATGCATTAAAAGCTTTAAATTTAACGATTGAAGCGTTAAAATTTAATGTAAAACATGGATTATTGAATGAAGTAAGTCTAAATAAATTTATTTTCAAAATATATACTACATTATATTATGTTTTATTTAAAGATACTACTCACACATAGATGAATATAATTATTTAATAGTTTAGTGACCACTAAATTAACATACTCTATTATTATAAAGTTGACTTAAATAATTTTTAAGTATATTTTTAACTTAAAATTATATATTTAATTATATATTAATTTAGGCATTTCAAGAAGCCTATAATTTGGTTGTTTTGTTATTATTATATTGACCATAATTTTTTTTAGAAACTTCTTTAAGACATGATATAAATTTTATCAAAATTTATAGGTATAAAATATATATGATATGAATGTTGTACCGTCTCGGCCTATTTCCGATACGATTCATAGGAGCGGTTGCTTAAGCCCTTTCGCCTTTTAGGCTCAGGGCTGGAAGACAAGTGTACCGTCTCGGCTTATTTTCGATACGATTCATAGGAGCGGTTGCTTAAGCCCTTTCGCCTTTTAGGCTCAGGGCTGGAAGACAAGTGTACCCGTCTCGGCCTATTTCCGATACGATTCATAGGAGCGGTTGCTTAAGCCCTTTCGCCTTTTAGGCTCAAGGCTGGAAGGCAAGTGTACCGTCTCGGCCTATTTCCAATATGGGCGTGGGAAAAAGGACCGAGACCCACGTCACCCTGCCACGAGGGGTCACTCGACAAAGGACCGATCTTATTTTGTAATACGGGTGAACTCGATTAGAATATGACCCGACCACCCTCACAAGAGTTGTCTCAGTGAAAAGACTGACCTTATCCAACCAAGTGAGTTAGCCCGACCAGGGTATGGTCGGCCAGGGTGTGCTCGGCCATGGTGAGATCGGTCAGGCTGTGCTCGACCATGGTGAGATCGGCCAGGATGTGCTCGGCTGATGTGAGATCGGCCAGGCTGTGCTCGACCATGGTGAGATTGGCCAGGGTGCGCTCGGCCATGGTGAGATCGGCCAGGCTGTGCTCGACCATGGTGAGATTGGTCAGGCTGTGCTCGGCCAGGGTATGGTCGGCCAAAGTCCGAGTGGGTCTCACCCTTTGGACTAGTCCGAGAATCAAGGATGAAAAGCCTATCATTGATAATCAAATATTCCCAAGGAAAACCGTTATGGAAATCCTCGCACTCACAAGGCCCAGGTGGTCCATGAATAGAAAAGTATAAAACCTAAAACCCTAGAGTTAAGACGACAGATTACACTTTTGAATGTTCTAGCTTTGAGGCTTGACCTAGGAAGAAACCCTAGTCACCCTTTGGCCGGAACAAATGTCATTTTAAAAAAATTATAAGAGACTAAATTATACGATTTAATTAATGATTCATTAATTTGATTTTTTATCCACTAACTCAATACTCTAACGAATTTGATAATTAGTCTAATTTTTAAAATATTGATGTTTAAAGAAAGAAACGTAGATGTAATACATGATATATTATTATAAGAAAAATAAAAAATAAAAATAAATATTTATGTATGTTGAAATATAACTACTCTCACGGGATAATGGATAATTATATTTATGTAATTAATTATATTTTTTTATCACACTTCTACGGTTCTACCTTAACTTTTATCTCTTCATTTTTCATTACATATTTGTGATACCTATAATTTTAATTTTATGTAATGTCACATTCATAACTTTTTCTCATACAGTAATAACGTGGTTCACATGGTTTGATATTATACCCAGCAGGTGGAAACTTTTTCAATGTCGATGGAACACAAATTTATGGGACCACAAAACCACTCATGTACAAGGTTCCACGATTGTAAGTGTATGACAACATTTCTTATATAAAGCCAAACTTTATTAATTTTTTGTAGTACACAACTTTCAAATTCGAGTTTTTATTTTATTTTATTTAAATTCATCTATCGGATAGATCAACTAATCATAATTGTTTTATATTCACAATTATCACTAATTCTCTTCGTGCTATGCACGGATTTATATATTCACATAAAGAATAATAAACAAGTTTTTAATTCTGTAAAATAAGTGAATTCTAATTTTAATTTTTTGAATTTTTTTATTTTACTTAAATTCGTTAACATTATTGTTGGTATTTATAATATATTTTTAGTCTTTGTAAAAGTAAATTTTTGATTTTGATCTTTAAAGATATTTTTTTTTGGTTTTTATTTATCTAAAATATAAATTTATCATTTTTAATCCTTAACAATGATTTTAAAATATTAAAGGTGTCACATATCAATTATCACTAAAATTTATGTGTAACCCATAAAATTATCACGTATTTAAATGGATAATAAGTAGTTAAAAATGGTTATATAATAGATTCAGCTAAGGCTAGTGCTGAGTTTATTAAGATTCTATGTGAACTAAAAATATAAAGTTCTCAATTATTTAAGTATTATCCTTGTATCTTTTATTACAAAAATATAAATTTATGGGACCACAAAACCACTCATGTACAAGGTTCCACGATTGTAAGTGTATGACAACATTTCTTATATAAAGCCAAACTTTATTAATTTTTTGTAGTACACAACTTTCAAATTCGAGTTTTTATTTTATTTTATTTAAATTCATCTATCGGATAGATCAACTAATCATAATTATTTTATATTCACAATTATCACTAATTCTCTTCGTGCTATGCACGGATTTATATATTCACATACAGAATAATAAACAAGTTTTTAATTCTGTAAAATAAGTGAATTCTAATTTTAATTTTTGAATTTATTTATTTATTTTTTACTTAAATTCGTTAACATTATTATTGGTATTTATAATATATTTTTAGTCTTTGTAAAAGTAAATTTTTGATTTTGATCTTTAAAGATATTTTTCTTTGGTTTTTATTTATCTAAAATATAAATTTATCATTTTTAATCCTTAACAATGATTTTAAAATATTAAAGGTGTCACATATACCAATTTAGTATCACTAAAAGTTATATGTAACCCATAAAATTAATTAAAATAATTAATTTTGTAACAGCCCAAGCAACCCGCATGTGGATATTGTCCGCTTTGGCCCACGGCCTCACGGTTTTGCTTCTGGCAATGGCACGCATGCCACCCCAAAAGGCCTCCACACAAGGAAGGTATCCACACCCATATATATGGCATGCTTCGTTCTCCTTCCTAACCGATGTGGGACTACACAATCCACCCCCCCTCAAGGGAGTCCAGCGCCCTCGCTGGCACACCGGCCCGGGT